CAGCCACATGATAATGTAACATCACCACCATTCATCCCTGCCACACAGCATTCTGAGACAAAACAACAACAACCTAGGAACCTGAAAAAAGCAGCGTGATTTACAGCAGACATGACAAGTATCACTAATACAAATCCTCCCCCCCCCGCTCCTTCAAGGAGTTCACCATCCTGCCCTCATCTGCATCTGATACAAGCCCAATAACGCAGTCTTCATAAGAGGCAGCGCTGAGCCATATCTCATGCAGACACGACGTAGAGGTGAACTACATTTCTACACAATGCTATTATCATCAGCGAGAGCACTAAATGAATATTGCGTTACATTACGTCCAATTTACGGTATGCGCTGTGTGATCATTCCTCCCGAATTCGATTTGGGCTTTAATAAAGAAAAGGACAATCGTTACGAATTCGCCAATCAGACATCTCGACAAAATATCAGCCGTGAAAACATTTAGATTCTTCATCCTTAAAGTCCTTTTTTGCCATGTTTCTGCAGGATGTGTGATTTATGCGCGAACTTTCTCCGGCTCCGTACGTTCTGTCAATGAGATAATGGAAAGCTGTTTAAAGATTACTGCGCCGATTTAGCGTCGCGCACCTATAACACTGTCTGACTCACAATGGACAGTTAAATGGACACATTTTAAATTCCATTCATTCTTCCTTAGTGTCAAAATATGGCACCTACATTACCCACAATTCAACGGCTCAAAATAATACTGCATAATAGCAGAGACGGCGACATGTGTCAGCCTCTTTCTAGTGCTCCTTAAGACCTGCAATCACACTGTGATGTGGAGCTCTCTTTAAACGTGGCCCAGAGATAATTCTCCTCTCCAGCGTGCATTGTTTCATTGAACTGCTTGCTTTTGGTTTATTTCTGATGCACTGAAACTATTTTAAATTTGATTAATATCGCGGCAGTTCAAAGGGTAATTCCTCTCAAAGCGAGGTGAGGAGCTCACAATTTTAGCCGCGAAAGAGTACGTATTTCAGCATCGATCTGTAATTTCCAAAGCCCTGTCGTTTTGTGCGAATTACAGCACCAAGCTCAAAGATATTAGGTTACTAAATCGACTGCAGAAACTGGAATCCTCACGACAGGGAGCTGCAGCAGGCGATGCCGGTCAGTTTTTGACCCCTGCATTCGTCACAATACTCTGTGATTGAATTTTCTGTCAACTCGCCGATCAGGTAATCACTGTTTCATCTGTACAGACGAGTCCGACGGCACTGATCTCGGCTTTCAAGCTCGACACTTTTCAATACTCACAGTTACAAACACATTTCACTTGGTAGCGGGAAAGCAATCATCATAAAACGCGGTATTGTGACATTTTTCAAACTGACCCCACAGAGTTGAGGTAAACTACTGAGCAATGCAATTATCATTACCGAGAACACTGAATGAATATTATGTTACATTAAATCCAATTTACTGTATATGTGGTCATTTCTATTGAATTGAATCTGGGCTTTAATAAAGAAAGGACAATCATTATGAAATTACTAATCATAGCTCACAGCCTGCGCCATGAAAACTCTTTAACACTGAGCTGTTTACAGCGGCAAGAGACGAGTTGGGGTTCTTTTTTTCTGACTTATTGTCATGAAGTAATTAAAGCTCGATTGCGTAACCAAAGCAGGAAGAGGATATAATGATGGACATGGAACAAGTATGGAAACCAATATGGAAGCAAATATGGAAACTGGCTGACAAGTGAAAAACACCCATGTTTGTTGGAGGAAAGCAA